ATGTTTGCAAGGTTCTCAAAAGACTTCGCTTACCCACAAACTTACCCGGTTGGGATAAAAATACCAGATGAAAAATTAACTTCAAGTAATAGACCTATACTTAAACAAGAGGAAAAATCATAATACCTTGCCAGGGGCAGGAGACATTTTAATAGTGTGATATGATCCATCTGGTAATGGAGAATCAGTCCATTCCTCTTCAGCAAACATATTTGTAAACGCTGTTCATTTCAATAAACCATGATACATAATAACACCTATTATTCGGTTCCAAATTAAAAGTTTAAATTCCCCCTGGCTATTAATGCCGTGTGTTTCATTCTTGAGCATTAATTATTGTTCGCACCTTTTGTAATAGAGTGAAACAGAATGAGTAAATCCCTGTCCTCTTTTAAAAAGATGAGCTGCTCAGTTCAAACAAGGGACTAGTGAACAAGTATTACAAACATAAGACATAAAACAGTTGTTGATTAGCCAGGTAACAGCACACTGTGTCAAGCATGTGTAAACTTTTGAACGTTTTCATTTGTGTAAATTGTTACGGTTTCATCTTTTGGACGATATGTGAACTGTTACGCGTAAGATCTTATTCAAGGCAGTAGTTATTAAATAAAAAACAAAAAGACATGTGGCTCTTGAAAAAAAAAGTACACTTTAACATGCTTTTAAAAAGAGTACTTAGCCTATCACAGAAGTGTGCACATTGAATGTGATGTTTTTGGACACTTGCGTGTTATTTGCAATTAAATTAAAATATATTATTGTTTAACTTAAAATTAAATGCAATTAATTGAACTTAAGAAGACACCTTTAGCCTAGGCTTATATGTAATTTCATAATTACTCCCGTTGTCTTTAAAATAACAGCCCAAATAAGGTAAAGTGTACTGACGAATGTAATGACAAGCATTTAAAATATGCTTTAGTGTCATTTCTAATAATTGATTTCACACTGCAGTTAAAATTACAATCAAGAAGGCCTATATACAAGTAGCTAGCCTACATATATATTCGCTCTAGTAGCCTATATGTTCATCAACACATGGAAATAAGTGCACTTTTTTAAAAGTCAAATAAAATATATTAAAACGTAATGATTAAAAAAAAAAGTATTTTAAGCTAAAACCTTTAATTTGGCATTATTGCAAGTGCACTTTTTAAAAGTGTACTTAAAGAGAGATGCCTCGGTGACATTTCTCTACACTTTCTAGGTAAAAATCTGTGTACAAATAACTCGACATGATTTAGAGCTTTATACATATATTTTGTAAGCATAACTATTACTGGTATTTAACCTCTTCAATTACAAATTTGTGCAAATTAGTTTTGATTCTGTATTGACCCACCCTACCATATCAAATATGATATGGACATTTCTAAGGCCTCTAAAATCAAAACGTTTATCTGCCATCTGATAGTTTTTTTTTTTTTTAGCAAGTATATCAAATATAGTATTAATAGGTTATGATTCACTTATCTTTTTCTTTTCTTTGCTGATTTTTATAAAGTAAATGTAAAAATAACTGTTATGTTATTGTTAGTACCGTTGGTAGTATTAGTCAATAATATTTTAAGATGAACACTTAATGGACTGAAGTAACTTAGGTGTACTTGATTACATGCTTTTTTAAATCATTTTAAATATGAATATCAAATATGATAAATCAGGCTTTTGGGGAATGTTGATTTGTACATCTCTCAAAGCATCATTGTATTGCATTGCATCGATATGGTTCGATTCAAATAATAAACTTATAAAATAATGAACTCGTCAAAGATTTTTGTTATTGCATCCATCATATTTCATGTCTCGATTCTCAGGGGAAAAAAGTTGCATTATTTTTTTTATATATATATATATATACATATAACAATTGTTCGCAGTGCCACAGATTTTCCTTTAGATGGCGACATTTCTTTTCATTTCAAACACGGTTATGAGAGAATATTGAGGGATATTTTATGCAAAGTTATAAAGTAAATGTAAAAATAACTGTTATGTTATTGTTAGTACCGTTGGTAGTATTAGTCAATAATATTTTAAGATGAACACTTAATGGACTGAAGTAACTTAGGTGTACTTGATTACATGCTTTTTTAAATCATTTTAAATATGAATATCAAATATGATAAATCAGGCTTTTGGGGAATGTTGATTTGTACATCTCTCAAAGCATCATTGTATTGCATTGCATCGATATGGTTCGATTCAAATAATAAACTTATAAAATAATGAACTCGTCAAAGATTTTTGTTATTGCATCCATCATATTTCATGTCTCGATTCTCAGGGGAAAAAAGTTGCATTATTTTTTTTATATATATATATACATATAACAATTGTTCGCAGTGCCACAGATTTTCCTTTAGATGGCGACATTTCTTTTCATTTCAAACACGGTTATGGGAGAATATTGAGGGATATTTTATGCAAAGATTTAAAAAAAAAAAATATATATATATATATATATAAAGTCAACTGTTTCAGTTGACTGCCATCAATATTTTAGACACTACGGCTTGTTTTTGGTTATGTACGATGTATCTAAACAACAGTTTTTTCCATTTTAATATTCTTCGCTGTGTACTATTTAAGTGTAACTTATGAAGTAGCCCAGTGTGCTTCCTGCTACTTTTCTCAGCGCTGGTCCTGATGACCCGTTCGACTCGGAGTCTTCTAGCGCCCCCTGGAGGTAGACAGCATTTTTGTCTCAACAGTTACTAGCTAGCAACATTCGCTAGATGTGTTCATATCCAGCGGAAGTGGTCGACTGTCTCATGCATGTCAACAATGGCGTCGCAGCAGCAGATGGTCACTAACAGTGCTCAGATGGGCGTTCAGCAAGCGGCTATTTTACAGCAATCGCAAACTCAACAACAACAACAGCAGCAGCTCAGTCAACAACAAGATTTTGATCCCGTTCACAGATTCAAAATGCTGATTCCTCTGCTGAAAGATAGTTTACAGGTTTGTTTGGTGCCTTCCGTTGATCGTGAGAGCTGAACGTGCTTGTTTGAAATAGAATACTAACATTCATTTACAATTTTATGTTTTCAGAACGTCATGTCCATTGCTTCACAAAATTTTGGACACAATGCAGCTATTGACAACGGAAGAACAACAGAGTAAGATTCCCCGATTATTATGTAAATTACATGGTGCATGAATATGCAATACACACACGCATATATGTATGTTCGGTGCTGGTAGTAACTGATGTTACATGTAATCTGGATTAAAGGGGTCATATGATGCGATTTCAAGTTTGCCTTTCTCAATTCATTTGCAATTTCACAAGTCTGACATTTTTCCTTGCAATTCTGAGGGGATAAAAATTCACCAAAAAGAAAGAATATGAATTCTGAGTTTTTCTCACAACACAGAATGAAAAATACGAATGTAATAGTGACTTTTTTTTTCTCGCAGTTCATATTTTTCACAATTCTGAGATTGCTTATTGTTGAGTTGTGAGATAAAACGTCCCAATTATTTATTTATTTTTATCCTGTGGCAGAAATGAGATTCAATAGAACGATTTATGGGTGCGTAAACCAAGAAATAATATTATTTCACTTCTCAAAACGTAGGAAGGGTAATGATGCAGCAGTTCAGCGGTTTGACAAAAGTTTAGAGGAGTTTTATGCTCTCTGTGATCAACTGGAGCTCTGCCTGGTAAGTAACTGCTGTGTTTCTTTTGAAAATGTCATTCAAAGTTATTTTCTGATTTTGATTAACATTGACATTTTGTTTCTTCAGCGGCTGGCCCATGAGTGCCTCTCTCAGAGCATCGACAGCACAAAGCATTCTCCAAATCTCGTACCTACAGCCACGAAGCCGGACACAGTGCAAACAGAGTCTCTGTCTTACTCTCAGTATCTCAGTATGATAAAATCGCAGATTTCATGTGCTAAAGACATTCATAATGCTCTCTTAGAGTGTTCAAAAAAGATTGCTGGGAAGGGTCAAGGAGCTTGTAATTAGTAGCTGCCAACTGTATTTAGATTCCTTTTTTTATTTTTATATTGCGTAGCTTTGATGCTGATTGAAGAATATCATTTGTTGTATTTTCAGTTCCTTTTTTCTGTTTACTATTGTGACAAATGTACTCGTACAATTAAAATGATATATTCTTGAAAAGAAGTGTGTGTATGCATGTGTTATAATGTACTATTTTGATCTAAAAAGCTGCTTAAGGTTCCTGTCTACTCATTTGCTAAGAATATTTGAGTATTATTTATTTACTAAGAGTTATGTAGTATTATTTACATGCTATTATAGTATTCATATTTATAATTCGCTTATATTTTCATTTAAGTTTTTTTTTTTTACATTCTATTTAGCTTTAACTACATTTTATTTCAATTTAAGTTGTAGTGTTTAGCATTTCAACTTTATTTCAGTACGTTGCCAACGTACATCTACTTTTTAAGTTTTTTTAACCAATTATATTTTATTTAAGCTTTATTTGCATGAATGAAAACGATTTTGAGTGGTTTACATTTCTGCATTAACCACTTACTTTTGTGGGTTAGTACTTTTTCTGTACTCATGCTTCTCTTTGAAGATATCTCTATCTTTTTTCAGTAAATATGTGAATAGTGCCCTCTCGCCATAGACTGTATAAAAAAAAAATAGCAAAGAGAAGTCGTCGTTCCAGGCTCTGATTGGTCGAGCCGTTGCTCAGCGGTTTTATGTTTGTTAATGCAACTGTCAAAGAAGTATGATGGCTTTGATTCATTCATAACATAATTTAGAACACTCTCGATGTGAGGAATGAAGAATCAAAAGGCGAAACCTTCAAAGGGTGTAAGCAACAGAAAAGGGTCAGTTGCATTGGTTTGGAGGTTGTTCAAAAAATTTATATTATATAAGTATATTATATACAGTATTTTAACGCTCACTGCGTTTTGAGACAGCCGAAGCGAATGACTAATGCTTATTTGTTGTTGGCTGCACTTGGATTTGGACTGTAAAAAAGAAACCGCTGTATTCCAGGCATTATGAACTCATATCTTTCTTATTATCCACACTCTGCAGTGCTCAGTGATGTTTCTCCATCCACCAGTATTCCTCCTCTGGTGGAGGGTCAGCTGAGATGCTTTCTGAGGGTGACAGTGAGTAAAGTGCTGTGGGTCATCACCAGACCTCTATATATATATATATATATATTCCCACTCAAAAACTGAGGTGCATAAGTTGTGGGAATCAGGACTGGGAACACCAAATTAGATAAAGGATTTTCAGCACAGCACAAGGGTTAATTATGTGCTGTTTCATGTGTACCGTAGGTCGCACTTGCCCTGGAAGTGTTAACAGAAGGATATGACAGCAGTAGTTCAGTACCCACGACTGATATGAGCCTCAACGCACAGGCTCCTGGCATTACAACTGACCAGAACATGCCTGTACTGCCATCCCAGGATCAGGCTCTCCCAAGTCTGAAGGAGACAGCTGGCAGCAGTTCTGGCCACATACCTAGGTTTGTTTTTTTATCTTTTAAATTATTTGACTGTTGAATGAATAATGTGGAACAAACTCTCAATAAATCACTCAGCTCACGTACTGTTCTTCAGCAACAACACGCATCCTTATGACTGATCTTGTCGTCTATGAATGGACAAGTTAAATTAAAAGACTACAAATTTTGAATAACATGTCTTTTTAAAATCTTATTAAAATTATTATTTTATGTTAAAAACGTTTTAAGTAGTTCTATGGTAATAGTTTTGTCCCCAGTGTTATTTTAGTATTATTTATATAATATTTAGATATTTTTTTTCTATTCATGATCTATTAACTAATATTATTATTTTAATATTATTAATGTTTTCTTAATAATATTAATATGTACTATTTATTAATAATATTTGTTAATGTTTGAATTAACATTTATTGTTGTTTTCAATTTAATTTTTGTTTAAATTTTAGTGAAGTTATGTGCTTATGTCATTTTTATTTTCTCAGTATTTCTATTTCATTTTTAGTTTTAGTAATCTCAGTACTTCAGCTTCAACTTATTTGATTTCAGTTAGTTGCCAAGGCACCAATTTTGAAAATTCAATAAACTTCCATTTTAATTCAATAAACTTCAACAATAAAACATTGTTTTTTCCAATATTCTTGTCTTAGAGGGAAGGATTACCTGTATTTTCAAGAACAAGTCATGCCAGATTCTTCTACTGGAAAACCTAAACCTGCTTCTGCCCAAATTCTTTCAGCAAATACCCAAGCACCTGTTGACCTTTTGTCAGGTAAAGCTCATTAACTTGATTTACTGAATTCATTATATTGACATTACTGTTGAACACAGCAACATTTTGGCTAAAATAGTGTGTGTCATAGATGATTTCTAAGGACTGGTCAAATTAAAGAATTGTCTGTCATCTGAATATTGCCAAATTCTGCTGATTGATCTTGAGTCAGTTTTAGACCTTATATTGTGTCAGTACAGCACTATACAAATTACACGTTTTTCTTTAGAGACGCTTGTGGCCATTGTGGTAGTTCCGTTGGCAGATCTGTAGTAGTGTTGTGACGGTGAGGAAATTTTCCCACTGGTTAATCGACGTGTGACAACACCGGTAATATCGGCAGTGTGCGCATTTTACTTTCACTTTCGAATTAGCGGCAGTTCGACGTCAATTGCTTGAATGCAACAACAAAATACAACGTCAAACTCACTTTACCGTATATATAAAGCATAGAACTTTTATTAACAAAACAAATAAAAATACACCATGCTAAAGGGCAGGCTATGCCTAATATAAAATAACAAATAACTTACATAAAGTTTACATGTACAAAACTGGAAACAAGTAAACATGTATAATATATAACCAAATAAATAAGAAACGTAGAAAGTTTATTAGCAAAGTGAGTAAGAAAGCTTGGAGCCACGGCATACACCTTAATGTCAAATAAAATAAATGACACAAAGTTTAAATAAAGTAAAAATCAGCAAACAATGTGGAACCAATTAAATAAGAAACGAATGTTTAAAAAAACTACCAAAATCACCTTAGATAAACGGCAAAAGTCAACAGGCTTTTCAAAATCCCAAATATTGCCCCAAACTAAACTAAATCATCCGCTATCATCTTGTCTGTCTCACCCCACTCTTATTGTCAGTCAGCTCGACACACTTTCCTCACTGGATAAATTAAATCTGATCTGTGATGCAACTGTCGTTCAACTGCATTGAGCAGCCGCATTCAGTTTTTAATTGTAGTGTTTGTTCTTTTACTGAACTAAATGATTTTTATTACTATAAAAAAATCAAAACGTCGGTGGGGGTCGGTGGGCAAGTGACGTAACCGGTGTTGTGGCTTAACACCGGTATCACCGTCAGCACTGTCTATTGCGGTAAGCCTAATCTGTAGACAAAAAGACCAGACTCTTTACACTATTTAGTGATGCATACCTGATGTATATACTAAGTGTTTATTGTCCATTATATAGCTTACTTAGTTTCATTATATATTACTTATGTTTTTTGTATTTTTCCAGTTCTTCTGGAGCGTGGCAGCAAACTCAGAAATGCCATGGTGGTTGCAGCCTTAAAATCTGATGTGGAGTCAGATGTTCCTCTGAAGGACATTCTCCTCCCTCTCTCCACAGATAACACTGACGCCTTGTATGAACTCTTCTATTTCATTCAAATAGCCTTCAAAAGACAGTAAGTGCAGTGTGTGCCAATCACCAAATCAAACAAACCTCAAAAATAAAGGCTCCTAAATGGTTTTATCTGTTAGAGGCCTGATCTTGTCTTGTTTGTTGTTTAGCCTGTTCTCATTGGATCAGCAATGTTTCCTCTGAACTCCGTGATGCAGAGTGAATCACTGAGCATTTCTGCTGCCCTTCCTGTTCAAAGACCAGATAGAGACGCTGATAAACAACTCTGAAGGTAATGTATCACTCATAAGAACCACATTTAGGAGATTTATTTGATCTAAGTGATTCATTTTTTCTTCTTTTTTTTAAGGTGTCGTTTGAATTAGCAGCAGACAAGAATGATTTCTCCACCAAAAAGAGACCTGCAAAACGAATGCTGAGTCCAACCAGACCTCTTTCTTCCCGTTTGACTGAAGAGCATGATGTACCAAAGGGTTTATGTGTGAATGACCACAGGAGAACCCCGTCTCCTTGTGCAGGTGTTCATCAAGTCCAGAATATCCTGATACCTCCATCCAGATCACGATCCACATCTCCACCCGTCAGATACCAGAGCTGTCTTCATGAACCTCTGCAGCAGGAAGTGGAGGAGACTAAGATTTTGCTTCATATGTTGCTCATGGTGCCCGATGGGAAAGATTTTAATTGTGCACCCATGCAGCCCAACGTCTACTTGAACTGTAAGCTCCTCAGATCCGATGAAACGGCTCGATCACCAGTGAGCTGGAGTCAGAAACATCCAACATTCGGCTTTATTCAGGTTGGTGCTAAATATAGAATCGAGGAAAGTTCAAAGACTTTAGTTTACCCATATTACTTAGTGGTGGAAATCATCAGGGTTCCCTCTATACAGTATTATTTATTAGAAAATGTAGTTTGTTATTTGTTTTTAACCTAACTTCTAATATGATATAGATGGCTCCGGTCGCACTGACCAGCAAAATGTTGGAGAGAATGAAGAACAACATGACGGTCATTGAAGTTTGGTTGAGGGCCAGTAACTCAGACCATGATAAACTTCTTGGTTTGGTAAAACTACCTCTCCACCAGTTCTACATGTCCTTCAGGCAGGTCTATTGATCTATCTACATATGTATGTATGTGTATGTTATATTATACATATAACATTAGAAACTTTATTTATGTGTAGTATATTATGTTTGTGGTATTGTTGTAGTTGCAGTATAATATTGTATTTATTATACATTTCTTATTAAAATAAATATGTGAAATATACATAATTAAATATTTATTGTTATAAATGTAATATTATTATATTATATGGTAAGAATAAGAGCAGTAATATATATTAATAGTAACATTATATAATGAATTACTTTATATAAAATATAGCAGTGTGGTTGTCACGAATCCGGTCCTTGAACTTCCGTCGGCTAACCATCAGAGGTCACCCTTCCCATTTTCATTGACTCTCGCACTCACACTGTTGCATATCATCCCGGACTACATATCCCATCATTCACAGCACTGATTGCACACAGCTGGTTCACTAATTGCACACAACACTGATTGCACCCAGCTGTTTCATATCACTCCCTCACTATTTAGCACTCACTCTGATCCCTTCCCTCTGCCGAGTATTGTTTAGCGCATATCAGTTGATAGCTACTCTACAGAGCCCTCGTTAGCCTCCTAGCCTAGCCTAGCCTAGTATTGCCTTGCCTGTTTTCTCAGTTTCTGATCCTTGCCTGGTTTTCTGGATTTATCCCTTTAGTCTCGCCCTCTTTGATTCTGTTCGCCGTTCGTTGAATTTCGCTAGCCCTAGGATTATTCTTGTGTCTTGCCCACCATATACCTGTCTGCCATTATCTGACCCATGCCTGTTTTATGACCACGTCTCTGTCTTCTCCTAATAAAAAGCTTTGCATTTGGATCCACACGTCTCGTCAGCCCCGTAAAAGTGATTACCATTAAATAAAACCAAAGCCATTAAAAAATTTTAAAGTGTTTTTATTAATTGAAATAAGCTAAAATTTAAATCTTATATCCATCCTTCCATTTCCCATACCATTTATACTCTGTAGGGTTGTGGTTAATATTAGCTGAAAACTTTTTAAATTTTGCCTTCATGCCTGTTTTATGACCACGTCTCTGTCTTCTCCTAATAAAAAGCTTTGCATTTGGATCCACACGTCTCGTCAGCCCCGTAAAAGTGATTACCATTAAATAAAACCAAAGCTATTAAAAAATGTAAAAGTGTTTTTATTAATTGAAATAAGCTAAAATTTAAATCTTATATCCATCCTTCCATTTCCCATACCATTTATACTCTGTAGGGTTGTGGTTAATATTAGATGAAAACTTTTTAAATTTTGCCTTGGCAACTAACTGAAATAAAGTTGAACTTAAAAATAAGTTTTACTTAAATGACTTCTGTTGTGATCTGGCGCTATAGAGAAAATATAATTAAATAAAATTAACTTGACCTTAAAGGGGGGTGGGGGGGTGCCGTTGGGGGGGCGGGCCGTCCCCCTAAAATAATGGCAGGGGAAACACTGACTCCTCCTCTGTTTTTCAGCCCCTGACTGGCCAATGAGCTTAGCAGTATTCTTTGCACTGGGACGTCAGGAGGAGCCAGTAGGACATGAGTCTCATTATGTCCAAACACAGGGTCAGGCACACAGAGAGTGGTCTCAGAGTGGTAGGCCTTGAGCTCCACATCTGTGCAACAGAAAGTTGGTTGAGCTGAATAGAAAAAAAGACATTTTGATACAGTCAGCAAGAAAACAGCTTACTGCTCTCGACAATAAGTGGGTCCGTGTCCTCTCGACTCATTTTGTGCAGGGAAGGAGTACTGGATGTAACAGTCAGCTTCTCCCCACACTGTGGACTGCAGAGGCGTCAGACCCTTCACTCTCTCTACTCGGACCACAAAGACATGCTCACGCAGAACATCCACAGTGGTACTGGCCTACAAGAACATTGATTCAGAAACAAATTAAGCTTCATCCTTTAAGCATCAGGGCTGCTTTTGGGAGTTTTAAAGAGAACTTTAATGTTTCTACATGTGGCCGGTGGTCTAATATGTGCGCTGGTCGAGGCAGTGGTGATACGTGGGTCAGCTCATCATCCCTCATTCACTGCAGTGCTGTGATCTGCTGTGCCAGACCCATTGCTAGACACACCCTGAGGTTTCCACGAGTGCTGCCGCTGAATACATCAACCACAGGCATATAACGGTCCACTCCAACCACTAGATACTGAGACTGCAAGAGCAGCTCTGTGATCTTGGGGTCTCTGGAGACAAAATAAAATAAAAACAAAATTGTAAAGCTTCTATGTTCCAGTGTTATTTTAGTATTTTTTATTTACTATTAAAGTATTTAGTAATATTTTATAAGTGCTTTTGCTTTCGCCTAGAAACACACAGCGTCTCCCTGACATGCTGCTTCAACACTAACTGCGGTTACTGAAACCACGCCTTCTTTCTTTGCGTGCACATTTGGGCGGCATTATGCAAATATTTCCACATAGTGAGGTAGATATGTGGGGGCGTGTTAGAACGAGCCGTTTTAGGGGGGCGTGGCAGAGTCTTAACTTTGATAAAGAATATCTCTTTGGGTTTGAGACTTCTTTGCAACTTCAGGGATCTTATCTATGCACAATCAGCTTGTAACACTCCAATGAGAAAGGAAAACTTGAAATCGCATCATATGACCCCTTTAAATAAAAATATAAACATGTAGCTTTGATCTATATATTTCCATTTTCGTAATTTTGGTAGTTCGAGTTAAAGTTACCTTTCTTATAGAACATGTATATACCTTGTTCTTTCATTAAGCAAACTAAATGGCCTTATGTTATTTATCTTATTTACACGACGGCATGTCATTTCAGTCTCTACGTTATGGTCGCGCTCTCTGCATCACGCACAGCGGAGTTCCGCCCGATGCGCGCGCTCACACACACACACAAGTAAGCCCACTCCCACTAGTATTTGTAAATATTAAGCCGCAAAACGATTCATATTTAAATATGAATTCTGCGTGTCTCTGTGTTATTGAATGGCGCAGACGCGCGGTTTTGTGTAGTACTCGTACTGAAACGCACGTGACGCTTCCGGTGATATTAACCTCTGCCGTCTCACTAATAATACATAATACATAATACATGAACAACATCGCCAGAACTGCTCTGAGAGTCACTTCATGAGCATCTGACCGTTTCATCTCAGTAAAACTATCCTCATATCATACATGCACAGAAATCTAAAAGGTATTCACGGCAACCCGTCAAAATAAAAGTTCGGTTTAACTTGAGGGCATTGGCAGAAATATATTACTGTTGTTGAATAGAATGTACGCAACAGACTGCTACTACTAAAGTTATTAAAACCGTATTTTTAAGGAATAAGCATTCAATATTTCTTCAATGTTTTAATTGTAATATTAAATGACCTTTATTTTCCAAAAAATTTAATTTGTTTAATTTTCATTACTTAAAAGATAGATTAAATGAATGTTTTATGCCTTAAAACAAAATGTAAATACACAACACAGAATTTCTGAGCAAAAAAATCATAAGGCTATTGTAAGAATAAATTAAACTTGTTTTATGCTTTCAAATTAGACATGCTAAAACAGAATTTGATTACAATAAAACATAAGGTTGGACAAATAAAACATAGGGCCCTAAATGTAATATTTGTTAAACTTTTAATAAATTGATGTTAAATTGTTTAAGGTTCATGATTTTAATTAATCAGACATGCTTTTTGATTAATAAAATATAGTTTAACCCCCCCAACCCCCCCAAAGCCGTAAACCTAGGCGAAACACTCCGAGTGCTGTTTGAGGTTTGGTAATTTGAGGTAATTCCATTTCGATTTATTTGTTTATTTTATTTTAGTACTTAAAATTTATCTTTTTATTTGGTTATATTTCTGTTTATTTAGGTAAAACCTGTCTCTTAAGCAATATTTGATCTTTTTATTATTTTTTTTACATTTTAGCATGTGAAAGCGTGTTTCTTTTTTTTTTTATTTGTTTATTCATTTATTTACATTTTAGCATTTAAAATGTGTCTCTTTAGTTTGGCGATATTTTTGTTTAATTTGATTTATTTATTTACTTTTTACATTTTAGCTTTTAAAAGCATTTTTGACTTTTATTTATTTATTTGTCTCTCTTATTTGGAAATATTTTCATTTATTTTTTACGTTTAAACTTTTAAACTTTTAAAGCATTATTTTAATTTAGCAATATTTTATTTGCCAATATTATTATTTTTCTACTTTTATTATTTTATTTTATTTTATTTTATTTTTTATACTTTTATTATTTTATTTTACATTTTAGCATTTAAAAACATTTGCTTTTATTTAGTAATATTTTTATTATTTAATTATATTAATTTATTTTTCACATTTGGAGAATTTCAAAACATGTCTAATTTTTTGTAATATTTTTAATATTTGTTTGGAAAGTTATTTACAAGCCTATTGAAACATTTTTCAGTATTATTATCCAAATGTTAGAGATCAGCTAGTTGCCAAAGGGTTGCTGCCCATGTCCAAACTGTGCACCATGGTAAACATGCAGAAACAGGGTCAAGCCGATGCACAACTTTTCTCCCTTCCTCTGGTACCAAGAACCGACCGACCTGTTGACACACAGCCTCAGCCTCAGTTAGTTGCATATCTAATTATCTTAAAACTGCATGCAGATAACATATACAGTACAATATGAATTTGAGACAAATGTAATTAAGTAAAATCTGTTTTTATCTGTGCTTACCTGTAGGGCTGCTTGAAGTGAGTGTTCAGTACAAGTCTCGACCAATGAGGAGTGTGGGAGTGAAGAGTGGGGTTGTGCCGTCCCGCAGAGTGATACTTGTTGTGCAGGTGCACAGAGCAGCCGGGCTGCAAGCTGCAGCCAAGTGAGTCAATCTGCATCAAATCTACCTTTAGCTTTTTGACCAATTACCCCAACAGCAATCTAGAATGATTACAATGATCTGCCTTTACATGAAGTACAATAAATACATGTAAATTGTATTTTTATGTACCATCTTTCTATTATTTCTCAGAGCTCTTGCAGATACGGATAACGCACTGCAGTATTACTCTGAAGTGGGGCTTAACACTTTCATCACCATGCAGTTGTCATTCCTGCCGGACAGCGAGGTTCGAAGCACGTGTGTGGCGGCCAGAAGTTTCTGCCCAGAGTTTGAACATCACGCAGAGTTCTGCTGTAACCTGCTGGTGCAGAGAGACAGCGGGGAGAGCGTCAGTCTGGCTGAACTCCTGCAAGAGGCAGTGGCTGTCTTCACCATAAACAACAGAGACACACACAAAAGTGAGTTACCCAACTTGGAAAGGTTGACAGATATGTGGAGATTTCATTTTGTCATGACACACTTCTGTTAAGGATGTTTGGATACCTTTAGGTTACAAATGACTCCACAAAAACATGCAGCCCTTCATTACATAATCCCATCGTGCAAAAGATCCGAGGCTGTGTGTAGGTGTAGATCTGTGTTGTAAGGAATATAAAAAACGAGAGGGTAATGAGAGGATAGATTAGGTTTTGTCTGCTGATTCAGCATTTTTATATTACATAAGTGGTTCAGATTATTATTAACATTTTATTTTAGTTTTAGTTGTTTGAAAATGATATTTTTCCTGTTACTGTGTTTTTTTTTTTTTTACTTTTTTGTTCATTTTTATGTTTTTACATTTACTCTTTAGTATCATTTTAATATTTACTTGTTAATTCTTAGTATTATCACTCCATTCCAGCATTATAAACACTATGTACTGTGTGTTTTGTTTATCTCATTGTAGTGGCTGATACAACAAGTTCAAAGGACACTGTCTTGGGCACTGTGAAAATTAAACTTGCGGATCTGATTCATAAAAGAAGTGGTATGAAAGTCTTGAATATTAATAGGATTTAAGTTTTTGATTCATTTTTATATTGTAGTGTTAATTAATATATAATATAGTATTATTTATTTATTTTTATTTTTATGTTTACGTTTTAGCATTTAAAAACGTGTCTGTTTTACTTGGAAATATTTTGTATCATGTCAGTTTTATTTAATAAATTAATTATTGTAAATACATAATTATGTATTTTAATGTTTTTGAAAAAAGTATATTATGCTCACCAAGGTTGTATTTATTTTATCCAAAAGAATGTAAAAATATGATTACATTTTAAAACCACTGGTTAATATTTGAATTTTGATTGGATTAAAATTTTTGTTAGATTTTGTTAAAAGATTTTTTATTTTTATAAATCTGTATTGTAGTGTTAATAAATATATATATATATATATTAGGCTTGCCATGATAGACGGTGTTGACGGTGATACCGGTATTACGTTACTTGCCCACCGACCCCCACCGTCGTTTTGATTTTTTTGTAGTTGCCTTAGTTCAGTAAAAGAACAGACACTACAATTAAAAACTGAACGCGGCTGCTCAATGCAGCGTGCCAAACGACAGTTGCATGACAGATCAGATTTAATTTATCCAGTGAGGAAAGTGAGTCGAGCTGACTGACAAGAAGAGTGGGGTGAGACAGACAAGATGATAGCGGATGATTTAGTTTCGAAACTGAATGCAAAAGCGCCTGTTTGGCAATATTTTCAATTTTGAAAAGCCTGTTGACTTTTGCCGTTTATCTAAGGTGATTTTGGAAGTTTTTTTAAACATTTGTTTCTTATTTAATATATATATATATATATTTTTTTTTTTTTAGCATTTAAAGAACTTGTGTCTTCTATTTGGCTATGCTTTTAGTATTTAATTTTATTTCTGTATTTATTTATTTGTGGTATGAAAGTATTTAAAATGAATAGAAATATAACATAATTGTTTATACATTTTGACAGGCATATCTGGCTGGTACAATCTCTCTCTACCTCAGAGCACAACATCATCTCACAGTCTGACCTCAGCAGGAGGGCTTGAAGTCTCCATTAGTTTTTCTCATCGTGCAGATAAAGAGCGAGTTATCAGTTCAGCCCATGGACTGGGATGGGATGTGGGGCAAAACAGTGAAGATGAGGTAGATATAGAGGACGAAGATACTTTGGAAGCAGGCGCAAAGTCTCTGGCATTATCACTTTCCATGCCTAGAGCATGGCTGCCTGTCCATTGCCTGCTGCTGCCAGGACATGAAGACTTGTAGCGTTCCACCTACTGCTACTACAGATACAAATTGTACAACCAGCAGACCGTCTGCTCTGAACTTTGACATCCCGTTCCAGACGAGTGTGAGGGAGGAGAAGGTTTAGCCACGGTGGCATTTCAGGGGAGTAGAAGCGTGGTGCTGAGGAGGACTCAACCCCTGCTCTGGTACCTGAGGGAGGAGAAGCTGGAGGTGCAGATGTGGGTGGCTTTTGGGAAGGAGAAGAGAGTCCGGCCTCATAACGCTGACCGTCTGGTGGGCTCTGCATTTGTGGATCTCTCTGCTCTTGCTGGGACTTTGAAGCACCATCAAACAATCAGTGGTAGATATTTGTTTAGTTTTTTCTTATTTATCTGTGAAGAGGCTATTTGTGCACTTTAGTAACTTTTTATTTTTATGTAATATTATGCTGGCATATTATATAATCGTTATAAAAATCATTATGCAAAAACACTGTTACCACATGATGATTTCTCCCTTATTAAACGGAACACTGCAAGACAAGTAAACATATACTCTAGCGTTCAAAAGTCTGGGTTTGGTAAGATTTTTTTTTATTTTATGATTTTGAAAAAAGTTTATTTTATATTTATTTAATTTTATCCAAATGTAGCATCTGGACCAATCAAACACACAATATATATTTTGTTTTTATATTTAACAAATACTCCGTAACCCCCCTGCAGTTAACCCCTTAACCAGGAAATTAACGTTCTTAGAATTGACAAGACAGTTGACCCTGAGTGGTCAGCTAAATATCTACAGCGGATCTAAAATATGAATAGTTAATTATAACTAGTTATGGTTAATTATTCATATTTCCTGTTGTGAGCTAAATTCGCTACACAAAGTACAGTAAAAATAGTAATATTATGAACTATTATTACAGTTCAAAACCGCAGTTTTCTAAGTAATTCTGTGATGACAAAGCAGATTTTTTTTGCTTCATTACTCCAGTCTTCAGTGTCACATGATCCTTCAGAAATCATTCTAATATGCTGATTTACTGAAGGATTCTTTAAAAAATAGAAAGTTGAAAAGAACAGCATTTATTTGAAATAGAAATATTCTATAACATTACAAATGTTTTTGTCTTTTTTATTTTTATTTATATTAATGACCATTTAAATGGCAGTGTACATTTTCCCAGTTTTTACAAACATTGAAGTTGAGTGCCTTTTACCAATGTTACTATATATTAAAAAAAACAAAATTATCCTTTAATTTATACAAAATTTAATTTTATATAATTACTAACCAATATTTGGAGAAAAACTAGCCTTTTAAAGGCCCATCCTTATTTTTCTTTTTTTTATCTATTAAATCTATTATTAAGATTTTATTTATAGAAAAATATTTGGTAATATGGTTGAACAAGCTCCTAACTGTATATCAAATAAATGTAAAATAAAACATCAAATACATGTGTAGTTTAGTTTGAGATCTTTTTTTTCTGAATGTTAAGCACATTCCTTCCCAGAAATTAAATTATTTTTTATTTTCATTTTTATTTTGAAGCCCATTTTTACTAGATCTCAGAAGTGCTAGGAAAATCCTACCTTCCAATGATGTGTCCTCTGCTCATATCTAATATAATATTTTGGTAATGTGAAATCTGTATTCTCTCCTGACTAACACGTTTCTCTCTCTCATGGTAGGCGTGTATCCTCTGTTCAAGCGCTCTGCTGTAAACCTGAGTGCTGCTGCTCTCAGAGTCCATATCACTGTCACAACAGACTCTGTACCACATGAGCCTCAATCCACTGAGGAGCTCAACGACTCAGTAGAAGATGAGAAGGATGGAGGCCTCCCCACCACAGCGCTGTCTAGACCATCTCAATCCCCCAGCAGACAGCTGATCAAATCAGCCGTGAGCACTGATGCTCCACCATCCAAAGAAATCAGCAACGATGACACCTTCATAGCCAACATTACTGTGGACAGAGCCATGCATCTGAGCCTGAAGGGTAAAATAACCACAGTTATTACTGATTTTACTTCATTCTCATTTGCAAGTACCTTGCATTTATGATGTTTAACGCTGGTGTCATCCTCAGGTTGTCCTCTTGCTGAGCGCGGTGGTGGATTGCCTAGTTGCTGTGTTTCTTATGCCACCGCCGATGCCCCGGGCATGGTGGCCACAGCACTGATCAAAGACATTGACTGCCCTGTGTGGGACCACCAGCAAGAATGCAGGTAAACCCATATGACATTTCTCATACTTTCCCATGTGCCCTTTTCACAGACAGTGATGACTTGTTTCCATTCATTCGTTGTAAAATTGTATACATTTTTTTTAGATTTTCAATTTTAAAAAGATGAATGTACATGTTTTGCACATATTTTTTCTCTTTTGTAAAGTCATAGAAACGCTATTGAGGATACTTTCCTTGTTATTGGGGCAAATAGGAACACAAAAATTATATTTGTAGATTCAGTTCAAAACTATAAAAGTTTACCCAACTATGATAACTAGGGATGTTCATTTTAACCAGTTAACCGACGGTAAGAATTTTGACCGATTAATACAATCAGTTAAGCGGTTTAAAAAGTCATTTCATTAATTTTTTCAGGAATTTGTCAAATTATTTAAAACTGTTTGCTACATGGTTAAAATACGCATATAAAAAAAGGTGTTTTTTAGG